ATTGTGCCACTGCTCTCCAGCCTGGGCGACAGAGTAAGACTCTCTCAAAAAAACAAGGTGGTAGAGAATAAACAACATAGTAGATAATCATAATGTTTTACACATAATTTTAATGCATTTTACAAGCATCAAGAAAAATATTAACGCTTTGAAGTTCTACAGCTAGTTAGAAATTAGCTAATTACTAGAAAGAAAAATAAAGAGAAATGAAGCAGGACCTACCCCTAGCTATACAGTGCCAAGATCTGAGAAGAGTGCTGGGTTAATTACATTGTGCTTTTCTTTCATTGCTTTATGTTCTTAATTATCTTTGATCGAACTCTCTATTACATGTAGGTTGACATGGTCATTCGCCCCAGTGGAATATCTGGATCCAGACTTAGTTTTCTGCCCAATGCAATCTACTAACCCAATTCTCTCACCTAAATAATTTTCTACTCCCCATCCCAACTTCCCCAGGAAATGGATGGATGCTCCCTTCCTATGAATAATCCCCAAGAACTGCAGCATTACAAATGACTTTCCTGACAATTCCTGTCTTACCTTAACTTTATCTCCCCTTTTTCCCACTCTCTGCAGGCCTCCTTTCCACATTGGACAGTACTGGTACTCAAACACTCCACAAAATCGAAATAAAAAGTCACCCAGGCAGAAGAATCTGTGGAAGACCATTTGCCTGGTGAGTCAGAAGACCAGCACTTTGCTTCCAATTCTGGCACTGAATTCACTTGGTAATTTAAGCAAGTTACTTAGAACACAGACCTGAAAGGGACCTTAATCCTATTAAAGAAAAAAAAAATCCTAACGTGCTTCTTATGTGCTGCTCTCTGTACTAGACTAAGCCCTCCGTAGCTCACCATCTCAGGAGACAAGAGCACATACACAGATACTACATACTCCCATGGAGGAATACTCATTAGAGATCATTTATTACACCCCCTATTTACAGATGAGATTTTCTCTGTCACAATAAACCAGAGTTGGGAAGATACAAATAGTATTTTCTATCTTTGAAGATACAAAGTCAACGAGTTTTATTCATATTTTTTTAGAGACAGGGTCTTGCTCTGTCACCTAGGCTGCAGTGCACTGGCACAATTATAGCTCATTGCAGTCTCAAACTACTGGGCTCATGCAATTCTTCTGTCTCAGCTTCCCGAGCAGCTGGGACTACAGGCACGGCCCATCACACCCAGCTAATTAAAAAAAAAGAAATTTTTAGAGACTGCATCTCACTATATTGCCCAGGCTGATCTCCAACCCCTTGCCTCAAGTGGTCCACCTGCCTTGTCCTCCCAAAGTGCTGGCATTACAAGTGTGAGTCACTGCACCCAGCTCAAAGAGTTTTGAAAGTATTACAGGTTTACTGCTGTATTGCTGTCTTTATGTGATAGATGAGACAATTTTAAATTCTAGTTTAGAAGCAAGGGATGGATTCATTCAGCCACTCATTTACCACTTAAAAAAAATGTCTAGATTCAGGCACTGTGCTAGGGAGGTGCTGGAAAAACAAAGGCAAAATGGCGTAATTACATTGGTCAACAAGCTCAACCTAGTAGAAGTCTAGGCAAACAAACCAAGAATTATAATACCACAGTAGCAAGCTCCCTCAGTCTGAGGAATGAAAACTACAGGGATAGGTAGGTACAGGGTAAAGAGGACAGACTTCACACACACACACATACACACACACATTTATGTAAACAGGACAGACTTCACACACACACACACACACACACAATTTATGTACTAACCAATATAGTAACTTAGCAGTCCTACGAACAGATTGACTTTTTATTCAATAAAGAAATCTTGAGGATAGAATTTGTGATATGCTCCCTATTATAAACATACAGAAACAAGAAATTACTCTTTCCCCAAATCTAAATTTAATTTAATTTCCCCAAATTAAACCTGAGATACACAAAATAAAATATAACTCAGCCTTAACCAAAAAAAGCACTAACTTTTAGGTCAGATAGAAATATCTCTACAAGCTAAGACAAAGCTAAGTGTCAGGCAGAGGTATAGGTAGTTTAAATATCCTAAGAAAAAAAATTTTCATTAAAAAATTAATTCTCTTTCCCCAGCTGTATAGAAAAATGTTCATCATTATATATGCATAAAACTAGTCTAAACTACTTTCCAGAAAAACCATCATAGTTAAGTTTAAAACACGCTTTGGATCCTCTTCCTTTTTTTTAAGGGGGAAAAAAATCCCTGTAATTTGGTAAAAAGCCTTAGGACATGCAGTTCTAACAATTAAACTTTACAGTAACCAATGATAATGAACTCAAAGAAAAAGCATTAGTCTTTATATCCCAGTCCCAAGATAAAACCTCTCTACATTTCATGAAAAGTCCCCAAAGACACAGAATCTACATCCAGGGAAGAAGAACAACAACCTCAAAACCAAATTCTGTCAATAATTTCAAAATAAACAGACCTATCTTTTCAAGTTATCAGCCCAGGAATAGTTCTGAAATTTTATATCCTTTTTCTCCCCTAGCAGTGAAGAACTCTGATAAAACAAAATAATAATAGGAATGGTAAGATAACATTTACTTAGCAAATAACCCATTTGTGGCAATCGGGTGGGCCCACATGAGCCTACAAGCAAGGTGCGGCAGCCATGGAGGGCAGCTGAGTGGGCGGTGACCACAGGCTCCCCGCAACACCCCGGCCTGGTGGCCTGGTGCTGGCCCAGTCAGTGGAGACCTGTGGAGAGGTGGTGGCAGTGACCTCCACAAGCCCTCTTTCTCTAGAGGTGAGTATATAGAACATCCTGGAATCCACCATGAATGGACAGTTGGACCTAAGTGGGAAGCTAATCATGAAAGCTCAACTTGGGGAGCATATTCCGCAAATTCCTATTCATAATGAAGATATTAATATTACTTACGATGAATTAGTGCTAACGATGCAAGGAGTTTTCGGGGAAAGCTTCTGAGTAATGATGAAGTAACAAAAATATAAAGATCTTTTTTTTTTTAATATATATAAATATTTTTTTCTTTTTTTTTAATTGTATTTTAGGTTTTGGGGTACATGTGAAGAACATGCAAGATTGTTGCATAGGTACACACATGGCAGTGTGATTTGCTGCCTTCCTCCCCTTCACCTATATCTGGCGTTTCTCCCCATGCTATCTCTCCCCATCTCCCCACCCCCCACTATCCCTCCATTTCCCCCCAACAGACCCCAGTGTGTAGTGCTCCCCTCCCTGTGTCCATGTGTTCTCATTGTTCAACACCCGCCTATGAGTGAGAACATGCGGTGTTTGATCTTCTGCTCTTCTGTCAGTTTGCTGAGAATGATGGTTTCCAGGTTCATCCATGTCCCTACAAAGGACACAAACTCATCGTTTTTGATGGCTGCATAATATTCCATGGTGTCTATGTGTCACATTTTCCCTATCCAGTCTATCATCGATGGGCATTTGGGTTACTTCCAGGTCTTTGCTATTGTAAACAGTGCTGCAATGAACATTCGTGTGCACATGTCCTTATAGTAGAACGATTTATAATCCTTTGGACATATACCCAGTAATGGGATTGCTGGGTCAAATGGAATTTCTATTTCTAGGTCCTTAAGGAATCGCCACACTGTCTTCCACAATGGTTGAACCAATTTACACTCCCACCAACAGTGTAAAAGTGTTCCTATTTCTCCACATCCTCTGCAGCATCTGTTGTCTCTAGATTTTTTAATGATTGCCATTCTAACCGGCGTGAGATGGTATCTCAGTGTAGTTTTGATTTGCATTTCTCTAATGACCAGTGATGATGAGCATTTTTTCATATGTATGTTGGCCTCATGTATGTCTTCTTTTGTGAAGTGTCTGTTCGTATCCTTTGCCCACTTTTGAATGGGCTTGTTTGGTTTTTTCCTTGTAAATCTGTTTTAGTTCTTTGTAAATTCTGGATATCAGCCCTTTGTCAGATGAAGATAAAGATCTTATAACAATTTTTTGATAGTTCTGACCTTCCCTTTGCAATTCAGTGTGGCAGGATACTGAAACTGACATTATTTGTTAATGGCCAACAAAGATCCCTTGAATCAAGTCAGGTGAACTATCTCTGTCGAGAACTGACAGAACTTCGAAAAAAAGAACCAGGACCTTCCACCAATATTCCTGAAAATGACACTGTGGATGGCAAGGAAGAAAAGCCTGGTTCTTCAGATTCTTCTGGAAAACAGTCTACTCAGGTAGCAAGTATGTCACCTTTTGATCCTTTTAAAAAGATGAAATCAATAATAATGTTACGTTGTCATTTGGCTTAACAGATGATCAGGTTTCAGGGCAACCCAGTGCTCCTGCAGAAGACTGTTCAGGAACACCTGACAGCATTGCCTCCTCCTCCTCAGCAGCAGCAGCTCACCCACCAGGAGTCCAGCCACAGCAACCACCATATACAGAGCTGAGATACAAGCAGGTCAGACTAAAAGTCCTATACCAAGAGTACCAGTAACAGGCCAGCTATGGGACGCAGCAGCTGCAGGCTCCATCTCAGCAGCCTCAACAGTACGGTACTCAGTATTCAACAAGCCATAGTTAGCAGACTGGACCCCAACAACCTCAGCGGTTCCAGAAATATGGCCAGCGACCAACTACCCAGGCACCAGCTCCTGCCTTTCTGGTCAGCCCCAACAATTGCCTGCTCAGCCACCACAGCAATACCAAGAGAGCAATTATCCCACACAAATTTATACTACCCAAACTTCTCAGCCTACTAATTATACTGGACCCCCCACCTCCCCGCCTCTAAACCTGGAATGGCTCCAAGCCAACCTCGGGTCTATCGACCAAGACCAGGTTTTACTTCACATCCTGTAAGTACCATGACCTTTCCTCCGAGTAGGCCTAATCCTTATCCTTTCCTAATCTTAATCCCTTTGTCAGGGGCTATACCCAATCTGGATCTGGTTATCGATAAGGAGGCTCATCTACACCAGTTAATGTAGCTGCTAGCTATTGGCCTCCCAAAAGACTCTAGGACTATTTTAATTTGTACTGAAGTTCAGAAATTTTAAAAGCAAAGCATTTTTTATGGTATCTTTGTTGCTGTTAATTGAAAGTATAATTTGCTGAAACACAAAGACCAAAATGAAAGTTTTTTCCTCCCTGCTTAAAAATGTAGCAGCTTCTTACTTATTTTGGAACACTACTCTTACATGTGTGTAAAGTGACTGACTTTCTAGCTTCCCTTGTCCAGAGGATATTAAAATGCTAGTGTGAGGTTTGGCCATCTTCCTTGGCTTTCTCATATTAAGATGTTGTACTAAAGTAGCCCTTTGAGAATACAACTGGATGTTATGTATAAAATGTAACACTGATAGATTAATAAAGATGGTTGAATTTTAAAAAACTATTTTTGCAGGTCTGACAGGAAAGTGTTATGCTTCCTTGTATTTATATTATTGATTTTATTATTCATATGCTTTAAAAGTCAGGAAAAACAGACTGTTACTTAATCATTACTCAAGTTTACAAGTGAGATAAAGGATTCCCAAATATTTACATAACCTCTTCCTTGAGCTTCCCCTCATTTACTCCAAAGTGAAGAATTTAACACTGATGAACAACAATCTCAGAGTACGTATCATTCCAGAACCAGGTGCCTCATCTGGCTAACTTCTCTCTTTCACAACTAATCTCATGAGTTTCTTATAACCCAGGTACTACCCTTATACTGACCGGTTGATCATTCCAAGCTACCAGTAACCATGTGAAATGTCCAAAACAAATCCTCACTCCTGCAAACACGTTCCAAGACTGTCCCTATAGTGAATCCAGTTCTAGGCCTTTTCAGCACTTCAAATCCAATATAGGGCAAGTGAGGGAAACGAACTTATATAAGACAGGATCCAACATGAGAATTTGAAAAGCCTAACACTAATTACTCATCTTACTACCTCTTCACTTGCCATCCTCCCACACTTTATCCAAAGCTGACCCTTAACTCATACCATTCTCCAGCACCTCTGATTTCTTTCTGGACTCTCCCAGCCTGATCTCTCTAGCTACCATACTATTTTTTTTACTACCTTTCAATCCAATTCACAAATCAGAGAGGCAGTATATGTTATCTCTATTATGTTTCCAAACATTCGTGGCCTAGTTCCCTGGAAGCCAGTCTTCTGTCCAGATCACTTACCAACTAATGGCAATTTAGATACAAAAGTTGTCTCTGAATTTTCTTGACCTCCCCATCATGAGACCACTGACCACTGAATCCATATGAAAGCTCTCTCCTCTGGTTGTCCTCTGTAACTCTCTTCAGTCCCAAATGTCTTCCTTCTTCCTTCTCTACCTTAAGACCCCTAACTATAGGTTTTCTCCAAGTCTCAGACTTAGATTTTTACTTCTTTCCCTATACTCTAACTCAGGTTATCACCAGATCTGACTGCTTCCTAAACAGTAATGTGTTCCCACTTCGTATTAGACATTTCTCCCTGCATTCATTCCCTAAGCATTCACCAAGTACCCGTTATATGCTATTAAGTGAGTTAAATGTTGAGGATATAGAGATCAATAAGGCCTACAACGATCACCTCTGCCTTCATGGATCAAAGACAAGTAAACAAAAATGTTTAAAACAATGTGATCAATGTGGTAATTCTCACACAGATGTACAGAGAAAAGAAAAAAACACATCAAAATGACATATGGTAACAATGGTTTCCTATACGGAGCTTATACACAATTATTTGCACACATTATTTCAATTAAGTCTCATAACAATACTAGAAGATATAAAATAAAAGGTAAAACTCTTTAAATAATTTAATACCAGATCATATAACTAGTAAGTGACTAATTCAGGATTTGAGGTCAAATGTGTCTGTGCCAAAACTTATGTTTTTTCTTCTATAATCAGTGAAAAGAAATCTACACCTGATAAGTCAGGAGAGAGGTCTGTTAAGGACATCTATTTAAGATCAATAAGTATTTCCAGAGAGTGTTCAAAGGCATAGTCAAGAAGAGAACACTCAGGAAAATGACTAGCACAGGACAGAACTTACAACTTGCATGTCCCCAAAACCCTCAAACTCAATCTAAAACAAGCTCAGCATCTTCTTCAAAGAAGTACTGTACAGTATTTCATTACTAAGACACACTTGGTGATCAATTTTTAAAATTTCTGAAATTGCGATGTAGACATCACAGTGTGTCACAGTTAATTGGAGTATTGTTTCTTTCCTTAGTGGAACATAAGATAATGGTGCCTGAGAATTTCTGACTTCTTAGATGTGATAACAAATGGTAACTCTCTCCTAAATTTAATTCCCAAATTTAAATCACTTGAATCACCAAGTTCTATTTTTTTCCATAATAACCATTCTAATCATCCATTCTTTTCAATTTCCCTGCCACCAATCTGGTTTAAGGTAGTATCAATTGTGCACAGATTAAATACCCTCCTCACTGGTCTCCCTGAATCAGTTTCCCCCTACCTATTCTAAATCCTCAAATACAGCACTATGAATCAGTTTTTCAAAACCACCACTGTATGCATACCACTCTTCCTCTCTCAAATTGGTTCCACACTGCATATAAGGAGATTCCAATCTAGTTTCAAAGACTTCCATAAACTAGCCTAAGCTGACCTTCAAACAGTTTCTTTTCTACTAATCAATAAAAGCCTTCTACTCTAATCAAGCTCTTCTATTTATGGTCTCTTCAAATACTCTAACCTCTGTCTATTAACTTCATGATTCTTTCCATCTGAAATTCACCCAACTCTTACACTATTTGAATCAAATGTCAAGGCTCAACTCAAGCTTCATAACCTCCATGAAATCTCCCTCAATCATTCCAAGCCATTTCTTCTTCTGAAGTTCTATAACATGTACTCCCTTGAATATTGTTGTATTTAACTTTTCAAAGGAGTTTATGTCTTATTTCCACAATGAAATTAAAAGGATCAAAAGCAGAGACTATATGTAACAATTATGCAGCATAGTTTAGCAGTTAATTACACAGCTTCTGGGGTCAAAGTACATAGGTTTGACTCTCATCTCTGCCATCTTTCTGTGTGACCTTGAGCAGTTACTTAATTTCTCTGTTTCAGTTTGTAAAATGGAGGCAATGACAGTATATACCTCAAAGAGTTGTGAGAATTAAATGGTCATGTAGGACCTGTTCTTGATACATACTATGCACTCTGTAAGTGTTAACTGCTATGAATTCGTTAATAAGAAAAATTACCACTTAAGTGATGGTAAGTATTGGAAATACTACATAAGTGTTAGCTATTATGCAGACAAAAGCTATTATACAAATGTCACACAGACATTCTGAATATTAAGTATGGTGCAGACATACTCAGAGGTAGAATCCCCTAGCTCTGGAAATCCATATTTATAAGCCAGACTCAAAAATAGCCGAGCATGGTGGCAGGCACCTGTAATGCCAGCTACTTGGGAGGCTGAGGCAGGAGAATTGCTTGAACCTGGAGGCAAGGATTGCAGTGAGCTAAGATTGCGCCATTGCACTCCAGCCTGGGTAACAAGAGTGAAATTCCATCTCAAAAAAAAAAAAATAAAAAAAGAATCTCCATGTTCATGGTACCCAAAATAATAAGTACGCATCACGTACTCAGTATTTACCTGATGGAAGAAGGAAGAAAAGGTCTTAACATGAGAAGCAGCTTTTTAGGAAAGTGTCTATTTCTGACATTCTGGGGGAGCAGTTGAGAAATCTGTCCAGAAATGGAAAGAAATATCTATTTTAGGGTCTATAAAGGCTAATCAATCTCAGGAGGAATTGACAGGAAAATGACAGGAAAAGACATTCCACAGGAAGCAAAGCTAGCTGTTTATAAATGTACATATTTCATGTACACCTGCATTATACAGTTCTGTAGTAGCTTTGTAGTTGTGAACAGCATAACAGGCACATAAAGTTTCTTGGTGAGTTTAGGATAGATAGGTACTTACTGAGCATGCCTCTGTAATTGAGGTCCATATCCCGGCTCTCCGATCGCACTTTAATGGCATCCAGAATGGCATCAGGAGACAACAGTCCCGAAGGCCTCACAACATTCAGAAGTTCAGTGAGGCTCATGAGAGGTAAACGCACAGCCTGCATGATTTCAGCATGATTCTCCTTTGAATTATGCTTACACCAGTTTAGTAAGGCTAGGAAAATATCTTTTTCGGGAGCTGCAAATGAATCTCTTAACACGATGTTTAAAAGTGCTGTCTGAAAAGGACAGAAAGGTAAAATTCCAGTCATAGGAAGTTCAACCATTGCATGTTCAATCAGTAAAAGCTTACAGAACAAGAATAACTTATATTTAGCCAATTAACTCTTTTTGACCCTCTTCTTCCCTTATGCTTTGTGCCACATATTCTCCTGCACATTATGGCTGTGTAAATAACAAGGATAGTAGCACCTTTCTTCTATGCTCAGGTATCTTGTACCACTGCAACAAACATCTAGTCTTTCCAAACACATCTGCATCCATCTTTTTTAAAACAGCGAAAAGAAAAATGCCAAAGTGAAAAGCTGTCAATACATACAGATTCTTCAAGAAAGTATACATTGTTAAGTTAGAAGGATACATCTGGCATTTAAAATTCAAAGTGTTTTGTTTTACAGTATTACTTTACTACCACATTTTTGGCTTTCAGATCTCCAAACTGACCTCCAGCAACAATGGTGCAACCCTCAAAGATCACTGTCTTTAAAAGCCAAGTAGAAAAAAAGAAATAGGATCACACAAATCTTAATTTACACTCAAATCAAGATATGTAGCTTTTCAATAGGTTTTCTCATTAGAAATATCCAGGTTCTAGAAGGAACACAACAAGAGAAATGGAGAGATAATCACTACCCAGAGTTCAAAGGAAGATTTGAGCAAAACAGTTTTACTCTAGCTATAATACTGAATCTTAAGCCAGCAAAAAAAGCAGTGACTTAAAGACCTCTTTTATGAATTTGCCTGCTTGCTCTAAGGAAGTATTAGTCACACTCTCTGTCAGAGAAAAACAAAACCAAAAGGTAGTATGCAATACCACAAAAGATCCTATTTGGTTGTCACTACACTGAAAACAACCACTCAGCAGCACAGTCTCTTTTGCACATAAAACTTACCAGAAGAACCTTAAAGAAAACACAAACAACCAGCCCCTCTCTTTTATGATCTAGAGTCCCAGTAGCTGGAGGCAAGTGGCTAGACCAGACAACCTGTTTGATACCAATGATTTTTATTTTTTTATTCTTAATCCATTGCTATACTTTTGCTTTACAAGTATAAATAAAACAATGCATGCCTATAAATTACTTGTAGACAAATGACACACACCTTAGAAAGGGAGAGGAAACCTTCACTTGAGAGCACCTCCTGAGCATTCCTGTCCATAAACATGCAGCACATACAAGTTAACTTGGGAAGTGAGTACAGACTGGCAACATCAAAAGTCATACAGACATTCTGAATGTTAAGTATGGTGCAGAGATACTCGGAAGTAGAATCCTCTAGCTCTGGAAATCCATATTTATGAGCCAGGCTTAAAAAGTCCAGCAGCACCTCCTCCTTCTCATCAGTCAGCGTTGCCCGCCCTGTGTAGATATACTTGAGTAGCATTGTGAATGCTTCTGCAGTGGTGTCTTGGAGAGGAATTTCTGCTTCAGGCTGAGACTCTCGCATTCCGCCATACAATAATGCTCTGCACATCAGGGAAGAAACATAGGAAGAAACCTTCAAATAGGATTTGCTACAAAATATTGGAAATAACAGTTATCAACATTATGCAAATATAAATTTGTTTAATGACACAAAGATCCAAATGAAAAAAATGCAAAGTAATCATATAAAATGGTTCTTTAAAGGAAGCAAGAGGAATGATTTCAAAACTATCTGAATTAATTCTATAAACCACTGAAATATTCTGAAATTTCTTCTGAGATATTCTGAAAGCTCAAGATATGTGATAGGTATTAAATAGAAAGATGAGTGTGATCTTTTGAGAGGCACAATGAAATTGATAAAAAGATGTTAAAGGTCAACAAGGCAATTTAAAAAGTAAAACTCTATAGGAAAAGATATAACCAGATAAAGACGAACACTAATATGATGCCATTCTCCCCTGTAAGACTGGCAGAAATTAAAAGGCTTGTTAATATCAGTGCTGCGAAAGCAATGGAAAAACAGGTTGAATAGGTTGTTTGGTGCACTGCTTTGAGAGTACAAATATGCAGCCCTTTATGGAAAGAAATTTAGTAGCATATAGTCAAGCCTAAAATGTGCATACCCTTCAACTCAGTAATCTCTCTATTAGGACTCATTTCTAGAGAAATAATACAGTAAAGAAAAATGTGTAAGAATGCACACTGAAACAACTGGAAGAAATCTAAATGTCCATCAACAGCAACATGGTTAAAAAAAAAACTGTGATATACACATTCTCTGCAGCCTTTAGAAAGATCAAGGGAGATCAACAGGTATTGTTTTGAAAAGATGTCCAGGATATGGTAGTTGAGTAAGTAAAATTGCAGACCCATATGCACTGCATGAAAAAAGTATATAACCACATATTTACATGTTTATGCATATGTGTCTATATAGATATTTCTTTAAATCAAATCAGAGGAAATCAGATTGGATTTAAAGAGTTTTGAAAAATCAGAGGAAATTCATATTAAACTGTTAACAACACTTATCTCTGGGAAATGGTATTAGACGGCGGGGAGAAAAAGACTTTCATTTGTTACTTTATAAATTAAAAATGAAATTACTGATAGGATTAGGGTGATTTTTTATTTTTTTCCTTTCAGATTCAACAAAAAGCCCTACATTATTGCTTATCTTAAAAAAATGAAAACTAGACAATTCAGTTAGGTAATGAATTTGAATTTCTACCTCTATTATCGCTTCTCGGTCTTTAGGCTGAGATCAAGTGTTGAATTTCTACCTCTATTAATCAAGCAGGAATAATATGAAGCAATTAAACTTCCAACCTATCAGGAAAGAAAGGAGGAACAGGATAAGGGAGAAGTGCAGAAAAGGGGGAGAAGAATAAAGAATGAGAAAGAAAAGATGCAAAAGTGACAGGAAAAGACTGGAACCAAGAAAGAGATTCTCTCTGTTCCTAAAATTCTCAGAGTAGGACTAGCATTTCAGGGTTACCTATCTGGAACTTGTCCCACACTACCCAAGGACGTAGCATTCTTGCTTGCCCCAGGAAAACAGCTGAAACCATCCAGTAAAGATTCATTAATATTCTGAGCACACCTCTTCACTGGGTTATACTCTGCCTAAAAATACACTTGAAGGTTTCCATTAATCCAGAGAGCACCCAACCATTACCCTAAAATTACCAAATTAAATAACTTCTCCTTTTTGGGGAGACCTCAACAAGACTTAACTCCAGTCCTGTATGATCTGTGGTATTTATCTGGATTCTCAATGCTTTAAAAGTGGTTTTGATGAGGCTCCCTGGGAACAATAAATATGAACCCTCAAGACAAGCACAGAGGTTAGATGTTTACTATGAAAAGTTTCCTCTTATACAGTTCCTTATCTGGGAATTGATAGGCTATTATGACAGTACTTCCGCATCTTCTGACAGCTGACAGTTCATATCCTTTGCATATGAATACTGTCAGCATTGAGAATCTAAGTAAGGCAGCATTGAGCTTAGCTCTAAGGTAGACTTAGAGGTAGAGCTTAGCTCTAAGGTAGTCTAAGGTAGACTCTGAGCTTAGCTTAGTGAGCCAGCAAATATTACAAAGGTTAAATATCTACAAAGACATCAAGAACAAGGTCAGTAAGTGGGGGTAGAATATTCCATTCACTCAATACGATCTTCAACTTTCTAAAAGTATTTGAGTTTCTTTTAAGATATACTAATCACCTAAACGATACCCACACAGAGTTGTTTCAAATTATTTTTGAAAGAGGGCAAGGTATACAGTATTAATAAATAATAAACACAGGCTGAGACGTTCTGACTTAATAAGAAGTGGACTCTTATAAAACACTTTAATAGTAATGACTGGACTAAACATTTTAAAAGGGAAATAAACACAAAAGGAAAAGTGTGCAGAGGACAGAGGCTAGTAAGAAATAATGGCTGGACCAAGGTCAGATGCCTTGGTAGAGTTGACCACTAGGAAGAAGGGGAGAGTGTTAGAAGTTTTAACAGACTCCTCATTTTTCTAAGCTCCTGGTTTCACCTACAGTGGCATTTTACATGTATAACATAAGAAGTTTATGAAAAACCATAGAAGCTCTAGCTATAGAGTAAATATTTCCAGGAGATACACTTTACCACAACACGTCTGACTCTAGGTGTTGCTGTCTCTCTTAACTCTGATTATAAAAGCCAGACTGCGGTTATCACTAGAAGGTAACTGAAATGTTCTCTAAGCCAATGGTATCTCCATTTCAGGTACCAGGTTTCCCAGATAAATCTCTAACACTGTGAACCATCTTTGTCCTTACAAATAGAAAAAGATCCATTATCAAGCATAAATTATAACTCAGCAATTCAGTGATGACTCACTTTTGACAAATATTAGGTAAAATGTAGAGTAGTTAAAGATCAGCTTAAGATTTATAACCCTGGAAATTAGGACTCAAGTAACAAACAATAACTGCATATAAGTATACCTCTTAGACCTGCTGGGTTACTAACAGGTCCTAGACCTCAGCAGTCTCAAACCAAGCGGGTATATGTGCCCATTAGCAGGTCCAGGGGTCAGTCTACCTATACAAAAGGAAGCTTAAGTCCCATTAGCCATCTACTGTGAGGAGAAGGTGAGGACAACAAAGACTCAGCCTGAGAAACATTCTTGAGACCTTGAAAACTGGTTGATTGGGCACCATCTAGGCTGGGAAACCTTCCAACCCTTTAATTTTAAGATGGCTCCTAAAGGAAAAGACAATTCTCAAAAAAAAAAACAAAGTCTACAAATATGAAATCTTTATAGATATTCAATTGAGGGATGCAAAAATTTGTCATCATGCTTGGTTACATATTTTTCACAGAGCAGAAAATACCAGTGTTTTCTACAGGTGAACTGAATTTTCAAAAAAGTATTACACACTTACCGAAAATATTGGCACCTGGCTGCTAAAATCACCCTGTGGGCAGGAAAACGTTTCTTTTCCACAACAAATGTGACGTCGCCATATTCTTCCCCAATCAACAAGGCACCGATATGTTCAGACAAAATGTGCACATGATCAATTTCCCCCACTGCAGTAAAGGGGCGAAGAGGGTGGCTGTTACTCATCTTGTGGAATAGACGATAGTCGTTGATCTATCATATAAAGAAGGAATGAGCGTTAGCGGGGGGAGGGGTGTACACTTAGAAAATCACATACCATAAACATAGCTAAGTAAAAATTTAAAGTGCTTAGAAAAATTCACATGAGAGAGAGTTAATCAGTGGTATCTTTATTAACTCATTTATTCTAAGTAGCAATTCGGCCTGCTTCCCTTAAATGTACTCCCTTCATTGTCTTATCACACTAGGAAAGCAAAAATGCCAGGGTCTCCAAACACTAACAGCACTTGGCGCCATCACAGTCTAGAAAACTGAGCCCAAACACAGGTCCCATATTCCTTACAGTACCCCAGGAAAAATAAAATCAACAATCAGAATAACTTCTCTCTTTTACATATATTGAGTAAGGTTGGGTACAATTATACCCAATAGAAAAGTCATTCAGGCACAGATCTAGGTCTAAATTACAAACAGAATAGATAAAATAATGAGATTTCAAATAAGAAGTTTTGTTCTGAAACCATCTCAAATATTTTATTTAAAAAAATAACAATCTTCTGGAGTCACAAAAATAACTTGACATTTATTAATGAACATTTGCAGTAACGTCCTAAGATTCTCACATTTAACAAAAGAATAACTCCAACATTTTTCTCAAGACTGTAGCTTCTATTCCAAACTTGTTGCTCTGATGATCAGGTTGCCAGTGTCTACCAGCACATCATTACATTTTGTCTCATTTACAGGCACCTTCCTTGCTTTTGTATGCAATGCCTTTCTATAAAAGTATCTGAAAATCAAAGAGCTAAAGCATTATTAACAGCTTTACATGTAAGAAGGGGTAGAGTATATTCTTAAAAAGCTAAAAATGTTTATATTTTTTAATACTGAATGTACTTGCAGGGTATTTTTAAAAAAAAAAAAAAAAAAGTTGGCCAGGAGCAGTGGTTTACGCCTGTAATCCCAGCACTCTGGAAGATTAAGGCGGGTGGATCACAAGGTCAGGAGATCGAGATCATCCTGGCTAACATAGTGAAACTCCATCTCTACTAAAAATACAAAAATGAACTGGGTCTGGTGGCGTGCACCTGTAGTCCCAACTACTTGGGAGGCTGAGGCAGGACAGCCACTTGAACCCGGGAGACGGACGCTGTAGTGAGCAGAGATCACACCACTGCACTCCAGCCTGGCGAGAGTGAGATTCCGCCTCAAAACACAAGTTGGTCTTGCTCTGTTTGCTCTGTTGCCCAGGCTGTAGTGCAGTGGTGCAATCACTGCTCCCTGTAACCTTGAACTCCTCAGCTCAAGTGATCCTCCCACTCAGCCCACCAAATAGCTGGGACTAAAAGGTGTGTGCCATCATGGCCAGCTAATTGAAGGTACTGCTTTGATAAGTGTAAGTAACGGGCACGTACGTCAGAGCCTTGGCTAGCATTCATATGCCCCAGGTGAAGAGGTGGCTGATAGCTCAGAGGTAGCCAGCTACTCCTCTGCTGCATCCGAGACTAGAGAAATTGAGCCAGATATGTTTCATCCAGTAGACCTCCACATCTTTTTTAACTCTCCACTTGAGCCACAATTAAAGGTTGAACAGCTCCTAATCTTTAATCTTCCATATCCAGTTCCATTATTAGCAAGGTGTCTGCAAAATGGTGTTTTTCTCCTGTGACTGCAACAGAAGATCTTCATGGACCAGGTTCCAAATCCGCCTGCTTCAGTTAACCTACTACCATACACCGACCCTCAAAAGAGGGAGCAACAGCAGTGATGCAGAAGAATATGGAAAATGAGCTAGGCAAGAAGACACCTGCCCCAGGTAAATGGGCAAAATCCTGATTACCTACAGCAGGAACATCAGAGAACTAGCAGTATAATCCCCTAACTGCCAAGGTAAATCCCTCTCCCTCAATTGCAGCCTTCATTTGAAAGCCCTAAAAACAGAATGATCTCTAGTCACTTGTGTATGAAAGACCAAATTCAACTTAAGACAATCTATTTGAGAGTATGAGCAAGTAATGTGTGACACAATAGTCTTAATGTGTATATACAACAACAGTGTAATACAGGAGTTGGCAAACTTTCTATAAAGGGTCAGATGGTACATAAAGCTTTGCAGGTTATACAATCTATGTCAAATGATTCAGCTCTATGGTAGGAGCCTAAAGGCAGCCATAGACAATAAGAAAATGAATAAACGATGGCTATGTCCAGTAAAACTATTTCTACAAAAGATCTAGATTAGACTCACAGGTCATAGTTTGCTAACACCTGGTATAACCCGTGATCAAGGACTGACCTCAAGGACTGGCTGTACTTTAGGCAAACAATCAGACTGGGAATTTTGTTTGTTTGTTTTTTGCTGGGTTACCCAACTGATGTTTCTATGATCATTTCCTATGTTGGTCAGGAAATTCAGAAAGCTACTGGTACCTGACTTCAAAAACTCATTCCTCTTCAATACAAACTCTCACATCACTATCCAACATTTCAATGATTGTGCATGACTCTAAACAAAACACTTTCCCTGTCTGAAAAGGCACAATGTATATACCCAGTAAATATATTCTCTGGTATAATACTTTCTTAATATTTTATCCATGTCATGGCTAATACTCAAATTACTTACTAAAGGACTCTTGATGAACAATGATTGCTTTTTAGTTAATCAGCTCAGAAGGGAAATTTATAATTCTTAAACTGATATATCATAAACAATATTATATATGTATGTATCTACCACAGTAAGTTCTCCAGATCTTTACTTCTCAATATATCTAATTTCATTTTATTTTAATTATGTTTTTCCAAATGGAGACATGAAACTGTTTTGTGTACAGAAAATAGCCACTTAGGATAAAATAAACACAATTTTATTGGCATATAGAATTTTAATTAGACTAGTGATTCTCAATAAGCTTGCCAAACATTGGAATCACATGGGGAGCTTAAAAAAAAAAAAAAAAAAGATGCTTGAGTCCCACTCCTCAGAGACTCATATTTAACTAGTCTAGAATGGGGCCGAGGCACTGGAATCACCATTCTGAAGTGCTTCAACTAAGCAACTCAGAAAAATAGCCACTGATTGATTCCTATTGTTGTAGGTTTCCATCTCTTGCTCAGGTGTGCAAGTATACAAAAAAAAAAAAAAAAAAAAAACCCACAGAAAATATTCATTTAGGATATAATTTAATTTGAATCTTATTGTAAAGATGCAAATGGTACTAACAAAGTTACCAATACCACAACTTTATACAGAAAATGAGTATTTTTTTCACCAATGGGATAGTTTATTTACAAAGTGATAGTTTCAGTCTACCTGTATGTATTTTAGAAAGTATGCTTGCTAGGCACAGCAGCCCACGTCTGTAATCCCAGCACTTTGGGAGGCTAAGATATGAAGATTGTTTGATGCCAGGAGTTCAGGACCTCGTCTCTACAAAAAAATTTAAACATTAGCCAGGCATGGTGGCATGAGGCTGTAATTTTAGCTAATTGGGAGGCTGAGTCAGGAGGATTACTTGAGCCCAGGAGTTAAAGCTGCAGTGAGCTATGATTGTACCACTGCACTCCATCCTGGACAACAGGGCAAGACCTTGTCTCAAAAAAGAAAAAGAAAAGAAAGCAAAGAAAAGAAAACCAAATTAAAGTTAAATGGATTAGGAAATAAAGAGGCAAAATAATCAATATTTGCAGATAACGACTGCAGACATGAAAAATCCATGAGAATCAACTGAAAAGAGTATTAGAGAAAATAAGAGCGGTTCACCAAAGTGATCACATAAAATAATTATATGAAAATATATAGCATTCTTCCATGCCCAAACCAACCAGCCAGAAAATATTAGTGAAAAGATCTGCAATTTGTAACTGTAAAACACATGTAACACATAGCAATAAACTCATAGGACATGTAAGGAAATCATAAAACTCTACTGAAAGATTTAAGAAAAATACAGAGACATAAGTTGTTTGGGGACAGAATGATCCAATATGATAAAGAGATCCATATTTTCAACTTACCATGGGTTTATCAGGACGTAACCATATTATAAGTCTAGGGGCATCATTTATATAAATGTAGCATTTCAATTGAATGGGAGAAAATATGAATTTTTTCAATAAAAGGTATTGGCTAGCCATTTGGAAAAAAGTAAGCTGAATATTCACATTAAAGTACAAAATGAAATATATATGGATGTCAGCTTCAGCACTTTCTGTAATAGCAAAAAAAAAAAAAATAATAAAAAACTAAAAAAACCCTGAAGGCTCATTTAAAGAGAATTGATTAAACAAATAATGGTACATATATAATGAAATATTATATATTTAAAAAGAATAAAGTTAGATACTAATGAACTGAAAAAATCTTCAGTATGTGCATTTACATGCAAAAGACAAAACAATAGTAAAATATTTTGTTTAAAAAAAAACACTGAAAAAGGAAGGATATACATCAAATGATTAACTAAGGGTTAACTAGATTGGGGCTGTGGGAAAACTTTACATAGTGTGCTACATACTTCTGTAATGTTTACAAATTTTAAAGTGTTTATTTGTAGTAAAACTATAAACAAATATTTCACAAAAATCAAAAATGACTAAAGCAGCAATACTAAAATCCTGAGGGTTACTGCCTGCTTATTATGCGGTAAGAAACCAACACTCATTTGTTCTAACCAAAATAATAAACAATGTCCATCAGTAAACTGAAAGTAAGTTTGGCCACTAAAATTACAATATAAATTGGTTTGTGTATGAGATAACAAGTGTTTGGATTTGCCACAACCAATAGAACCTGATTTAGTGACTAAGACAGAAATGGCAAGCAGAGAGGGACTATATATTATCTGCACAGAGAAAAATTAATTAACACCTTGAAGGCAAGGACACAGAGTTCATTACACTTAAAACCGGCAAGGAAAAAAAAGTTCATTACACTAAGACAGGTAAATCAGATACCTGGGCAGCATGGCCCCCTAGGACACTCTATCTGACATACGCTAACTAAAGATCTTCACCTAAGAGAGTTTCAG